GGGTCGATCGGATCCCTGTAATTATTTTTCTGTTTCATCGTGTGGGGGGTCAACAGCACCAACAACTCTTCAAACTGTCCCACAGACATCCTGAAATAGGTCCTAAAACGACCATGATACAACTTCAGTTCCTGTACCAACCGATGAAACTTGCTATGTTCTCTCCTTATTTTCAATATAGGATGGACCCAAAACCTTCTTTGTTTTCTTTTTTTATGTAGCAGGACAAGCAGTACATCGTCGTCGCTTGATGGGGAGTCCATATTTGTAGCGCGACGTTTTAAGAAAATATCACTTATTCGCGTCGCGTTCAGTGTGAATACTTTTGGTGCGTTAAATTCGCCTGCGTTTTTTTTTTTTCGCTTGTTCGTCTCGCTTATTCGCATCACGTTCGGTGTGAAAAGGCCTTAACTCCCACCAATTCTCTCTAGGCAGTAGTTTGCATTAAAAAAAAGAAACTGTAAACCCATTACTTACAGGGGATATGGGAGACTGACTGAAGAAGTGCTATCAGTAATACACAATTAAATGTGCCAAAGAATGAATGAGTATTCATATGGAAGCTCAGTATACACGTTAAATGATGTTTACCCGTTATTTGGCCCCAATGAGGGGGGTGTCAGGTCATGTCATCAGAAATCTTCAGAGCTCCACAATAAGCAACACTATTTTCCAGACTTAACCTACCCTTAACACAAAACAACCTTCCATTTGAAAAGGATGAATGAAATTTGAAAGTTTAATACATAGTAGGTCAGCCTCGTCATCAGCGAACCTTGGGCGTTCATGACCCTACCCCCATATTGCTTGGTTGTCCTTTAGACCACTGTTGGTAGGTACTAACCACTGCAGACCAGGGGCACACAACAGGACCTGCAGTCAGGGAGATGCTCTGACCCAGTCATCTAGCCATCACAGTTTGGCCCTTGTCAGAGTGAGTCAGATCCTTATGCTTGCCTGTTTTTCCTGCTTCCAACACATCTACTTTGAGGACTAAATGTTCACTTGCTGCCTAAATCCACCCCCAAACACACACACACCTAGGCGCCATTGTAACGAGATGTTAATCAATTCACCTGTCAGTGATCATAATGTTATGGCTGATTCGTGTATTTCTCCTATTGTTAAGTGGCTTTACACACTTTAAAAAAAAAAAAAAAACTTTTTTTTTTTTTCTTGATTTATATTCTTTCTTTGGGTGCGTGTAAGCACCACCTGTATAATTAATTTTCTTCAGTATTGTCCACTGTCTGATCTTATTTAGTCTTGACTGTATTTATAAATAAATTAAATCAGAGTCTAAAACAACGCCTGGGGAAGAGCAACATCCAGGCCAGGCTGGGCCGGCCTGTTGGGGCTCTGATGCGTGGAGGAGCTACTGGAGGCAGAGGAGGAATGCGGGGAATGTCCAGGGGAGGCCTGCGAGGACGTGCCAGAGGAGGAGTAATGAGGGGGGCTCTGTCCCTGAGAGGTGTGTATTCACAACCGTTCACAGGATCTCACCTATTGTTATGGCTGTAATTCCAGCTGTGTCAAGATTTCACTCTCTAGGCTGTACATTTTTCCCGGGTTTGCACTGAGTGAAGAACAAACTTTGTCACACAGGGAAGCGAGTATCTACAGGTGGCCCCATGCGGGGCCGTGGCCCTGCTGGTCGTCTGACAATGCGTCGAGGAGGCCGCTATAGTGGAGGACCTGCTGGCAGAGGAGGAGCTCTGTCCCGAGGAGCAACACGTGGAGGTATAGCCAGAGGTCAGGTGCTGGTGATGTTGTATTTTCTTTGTTGTTTAAGTGTGCAAAAATATTTAATGTTTTCATAAATGAGGAAAATTGAGTAACTCGTATTAAGTTGAATTGTTGACTGTTCGTCAGTGCTACCTAGTTATGTCTGCTGTGTGTGCGCGTGTGTGTGTGTTGGTGAAAAGGCCGTGGCGGACTGCGTGGGCGTGGTGGTTTTGGTGGCCGAGGTGGTCGTGGCCGTGGGCGGGGCCGAAGTGTTGGCCGCCCAGCTGTAACCCGTGAACAACTGGACAACCAGCTGGATGCCTACATGTCTAAGACCAAAGGTCATCTGGATGCTGAACTGGATGCCTACATGGCCCAAGCAGACCCAGATGGTATGGAGTGACCTTGGAGGACTCTGTAGCTGAAGCACATGTTGATTCAACCAGAGAACTGTGCAGCTGAACTCACACATACAGTGTAGTGTTGATGTGCTGAGAAATTATT